ACTACATCCAGACCAAGATGAATATATCAAGATGTATTTTAATATACTGCTCTTTGAAAACAGCCTTAACTATGGAATTTGAAGATTGATAGTATCTACAATTTATGGCTTAATTCCTCTAAGTGGCATGTATAATAGCTTATTTTTCTCAAGAGTAAATTTAAAGTAGTAAAGAGTAAAATTTAGGGTAGATCAGTGGATGCTGTCACATTCAAATATTGCCTGTTACTGATTTAATGACTGAGCCATCTGTAAGCAGAGGGGGCCTCAAATGCCTTAAAATGCTTGTGTCTGGAGACATTTAGTTTAGAGTTAAACCATAGGTTAGTGGTTAAGAATGGTATTTATAGGCAACCAGGTTCATGAATGGTTTAAGCATCTATCAGTTGTTATTGTAGAGCAAATTATTATGACTACATATTATGATTATTCTATGTTCCCAGATTTGGCTACTGGGGTCCCCTTCAAGCCAGCTCTGCCCCTCTGTTCCTTGAGAACTTCATTTTTTTGGCCAATGGTGTTCCAAGCTTACCTTGTACTTACCCTGCCATGGCTTCAGCTTTTACCTTAGGAGCTCTCCCTACCTTTTGTGAAGGGTGATATTTAGAAACCAAGACCTCATTGTTTCTAGGTTTCTTGAAAGGTGAAGTGTATGTAGGTACACACACACATGTGCACCTTTATGTCATTACTTACCTCAGTATCTGTGTGATATCCATATATAACCATAACGTTTGTTCATAACAGCAGCTCCAGTTCCAAGTCAGCACACAGGGCTTATTCTTGCTTTTCCCTTTCCATGATTGTACCTCCTTTTGTCAATTGAGAAATGTGGCCCTCATTATCTTCAGTATGTTTGGGCTGCTCTTCACCCTGACAGATTCCTGGCTTGCACCCTGACCCACCTGTTTGCCTTCCCACCATGATGGAAAGAAGAGAGCAAGCTCCTTGCTGGAAAGATACTTGCTTTTCTTTTCTTTTTGTTGGCTTTATAAAGCAAGAACTATAAGACCATTGGATAATGTTGCTGACATGAAACCAGTTCTATTTCTGTCCACATTTGTGACTACATCCAGACCAAGATGAATATATCAAGATGTATTTTAATATACTGCTCTTTGAAAACAGCCTTAACTATGGAATTTGAAGATTGATAGTATCTACAATTTATGGCTTAATTCCTCTAAGTGGCATGTATAATAGCTTATTTTTCTCAAGAGTAAATTTAAAGTAGTAAAGAGTAAAATTTAGGGTAGATCAGTGGATGCTGTCACATTCAAATATTGCCTGTTACTGATTTAATGACTGAGCCATCTGTAAGCAGAGGGGGCCTCAAATGCCTTAAAATGCTTGTGTCTGGAGACATTTAGTTTAGAGTTAAACCATAGGTTAGTGGTTAAGAATGGTATTTATAGGCAACCAGGTTCATGAATGGTTTAAGCATCTATCAGTTGTTATTGTAGAGCAAATTATTAAACCCCTAGAAGCTTCAATTTAAGTACAGCACTTACATTTCAATTGTCTCAGTCCATTCAAACTACTGTAACCAAAATACCATGGGCTGGAACAATAAACGTCTATTTCTCAAGGTTCTGGAGGCTGGGGCATCCAGGGTCAAAGTGCCAGCAGATTCAGCATCTGGTTAGGTCTTGCTTTCTGGTTTATAAATGACCGTCTTCTCACTCTGTCCTCACAAAGCAGAAGGGGCGAGGGAACTCTCTCTGGGGTCTCCTTCTTTGGGCACTAATGCCCTGCATGAGGGCTCCATCCACATGGCCAGTCACCACCCCCAAAGGCTCCACCTCCTAATACCACCACCTTGGGAATTAGGTTTCAACATGAGTTTGGGGGAAAACATTTAGTTCATAGCAACAGGATCATTATGAATTTTGAGTGATATGCCATAGGCAAAATATCACTTGAAACATAGTACATATAAACAGGAAATAGCTTTTATATTTTATCATTGGTGACATCTAGACTTTTAACCACTATGAGTCTTAATAGCAGATACTAGCACTGAATATCTGGTTTTTTAGAGCTCTAAGTAAATTAAATGGTATTTTTGCAATGCTGTATCTTACAATTTCAATAGGTACTTTTAACATGTTGACCATGTCATAAATGCACAGTAAGAGAATCCACACAGAATTATCTTCTAAATATTTTGAAGGAACATCATGATACTCATTTTTTCTCTTCCTAGTCAGTATGAGGGAAATACAATATCAGTTTTTGTGGGAACAGTGAATGATACTACTGCAATATTCACAGGTTATACCTGTCAAAATGTACCTTTTGATTAGAGAACACTTGATTCTGAAGACTTTACAAATTGTTTCAATGCGCCAACCCCAAATCCTTTTATTTTACTGGAAATGCATGGAAAGAAAGGACATGTTGGGAGTCTTCAGAGATTGAATTGAATTTCTTTGATCATTTGTTTAAAAGTTACATCCCAGTTATCATCGATTGCCCCTCTAGAGACTAGAGTTAAAATCTGATTCCACTTTAACAAATAATGAGTGGAAATCCTGGAGAAATGGATGGCATGTAACATATGTAGAACAGAGATCTAAACCCATTTACATGTGCATACAAATGAAAGATGACTTTTAAGTCCTTATAATTATTTGAAGTTTAACTTTTCCATGTCCCTTTCCTTGATCAATATGTGTCCCTATCATTTCTAATGTTGGTAAGTTGGATAGGGAATATCATGGAAAATACATCAAAGAATTTGAAAATAAGGTAAATAAGTTTGTCTAATGAGCTTAAAGCAAAAAGATACTAAAGAGGGAATGAGCCAGAAATATGCACAGGCATCTTAAAAAATAAAACACAGGCTTCTAAGACAAGATTGAGCTGTCAGAAGTGTGAGTACTTTTTGTATTACAGTGTCTCAGACTTAGCCAGTGGAATTGAGTACTAGGTCTCACACACGGAAGAAGACAACCAGTCAGCTCCTGAGGAATCTTAGTTTGGAGCAAAGCACAAAGTCGTCCTCTCAAAACACATCCTGTATACTCTTTTGCTCTATATGCATTTTCCTAGAGGGAGATGTTGTGAATCTTTATAACTCTCATAAATGAGTGACCACAGCATTCTGGCTCCTGTGACAGCTGCTGGTCTCGCTCTAGTAAGAGCCAGTTGGCGCTGGGCTTTCCTCAGTGAACTGCTTAATGTGACTCAGCTTCTGAGATAGCATCCTGCGAGTGCTGAGTCTGTAGGGCTTCAGGCCAGTTGCAGCTCATGGCCAGGTCACCAAGGCACTGTGCCTCCCTGAAGCTTTGAAGCAGGAGCCAATAAGCTTCCCCCGGGACTCCAGTCTCACTACATACTCTTTATTTAAACTGCTTCAGCAAGTAATAAAAATCCTTAGAAAACTTTGAGGATTCCCCTCACACCTTCACTCAGTGACAGCAGGCTAAGAAACGGGTTAGGGAGATACCAAGGCCAGCAGGAATTGAGCCCAAGTGGCAGAGCACTTTAGGAGGGGCTATAGGTGGACATAGCCAGATAAGAAAAGAAATGCACAGAGAGCCAGATTATGTTCCCCACGTTTTAGTGTTGACCAGAATCCCACATGCCTCAAGAGAATGCCCTTCCAGACCTTTAGTAATAATAACGCTTGAGCTCACAATCGTTCTGCAAGGTACCTATCTTTCTCTGCTTTTACACATGAGCATATTGAAGTTCAAAGAGGCTAAGTGACTTAGCAAGGTCACATGAGTTAATAACTAATTAGTGAGAGAGCTAAGTTTTACATTCAAACCCAGTAGAGGTCAAAGTATAGTTTTGTATGAATTTTTATATAGGTCTTTCTTTCATATATCCACATCCATTCATCCGTACCTATATACACAATATACTTTCCCATGAGTTCTTAAAATTCCAATGAGTTCTTTAGAATTTCTGAATCTTTCAGATAAATATAAAACACTTCTTGTATCAGTGATTACACTTTATTTTCTCTCAAACAAAATACAATGTAGAATAAAAGTAATATTTAAAAACTGATTCAGAGAAAATACAGTGAATTTTCCTTTAACATGTAAACATTCTCCATAGATGGTTTTCTAAAGTGAGAAATATTTAGTGACCACTTGCCATGGTTCAAACCCAGTGCTAGAAGTGGGACTCTAGGGCAAGTGATCTATCTACAAAGTCTAGCATACACTGCTATACTGCATTGTCACCTCTGGTTTTAGTAGTTCATGCTGTGGATTTTTTAAAGATGTGAGGGTTTGGATCAAATACTCACAGAATGTGAAGCTGCATCAGTAAAGACAGTGTCTTTTAAAACATTTGCTTGTGCATAAAGGAAAGCAGTAATGCATGAAGGAAGATTGGAATATCAAAAGGTATGCAGTTCTGCCAAGTGCTTTTCATTTAATTAGACATACTCTTTACACATTAGCTGTAAGCACTAATACATACCCATGTGCAAATATAAAACAATGTAAAAGAGAGTTTTAAAAATGAGAATCTGTTTTGATTGACCCCAATATATCTAAAATCAAGATGTCATAATGATATTTAGGGCTCAGAACAAATTTAATATTACTTTTAATTTTACTTTGTTTTTTTAGGATAATTTTGTAGAATTTTCATGGAAAAAATAATTTTAGGGGTAGTTTTAGTGTGTTAATTATTCTCACAAGAACACAATTTAGCCAAACTTCTTCTAAAACAGCAAAAAGAATAGAATTTTTTCAAGTCTTTTGCCCCCCAAAAATATTCTCAACTATTGGTAATTACAAGCTTTTGAATTTAGAAAAGTCTCAGAAATCTGGTTGAGTATCTTACTTCCAATTGGGTTGTATATGAGAAATAAGGAAATTCTCCTATAGATAGAAAGCTATAGAATATCGCAGTCATAAAGAAACACTTACTTACCAGGAAAAATTTTAATACGTTCATTTCTTCTTGTACTAGAGAAGTTTGATTTGCTGGTGACAGCAATTGCTATTTGTTTCTGTCTTCTTGTTTTATTTCAGAGCACATTCAGAAAATGAAGGTACCTCTTTATCATCTGGCGACTCCTGTACCAGTCCTACTAAGATGGATTTATTATATAATAAGACTGCTAAGCAGTGTCTAGAGGAGATATCTGGTAAGTGTTCTGATTGATGGGTAGGTCAAACCTCAGAGTTTTGTAATCGCTTTGTAAGTCTTTTTTATTAAATAATGTTTGTGCTATACTATTTTTTCATAAGCATAAATGGACTTTGCACATCTCATACTTCTGAGAATCTTAGATATTTGTCTGTTCTACTTATAATGATCTCTTTGTTACTTTGTAAAAAATTCTGGAAAGAATTGTGGTAGTGCTCACAGGCTGGGATTTTAAGTCATTATTGCCCAAAATCAGGTTGAACATAATCAGACAAAACCTGGAGAATCTTCTGTTGTTAGTAAGGCAGCCCTTGAATATATTTAGAGATGTTAAAAATATTAAGGATCAGATGTCGCTTTAAGTTTTCAATGGCCAGTCCAACCATGTTCTGTCTTCAATTCTCTGCTACTTAGGCCATGTCTACATGGTCACTCCAAATGTGTATCATGTTAATTATATATGTATAATTATGGAAATACCTCATTTACATAAATAATATAAGAAAAAAAGACATTAACATACCCAGACACAGTTTGCCAGATTTTTAAGTGTATAAAACAGGATTATCAGCTTCAGTCCAGTGTTTTTACTGAGATCCAGATAAGCCTAGGCATGTATGGAGGGCCTCTGGTGAATTTTGTTAGATGTAGGTTATATAATATAATTTTGTTATATTCCTGAGGAACTAAGTAGGCTTTTAGTAAAATACACCACTCCTAAGGGGAAAGAGAGTTTAAGAACATTTTATGTGTGTCTAAGTACAAGAATGCATGGAAGTAGAGGTATGTCTATTATTCCCTTAAATCTCTGTCTCAGCCTTTGTTTATCCCAGAGAAAAAAAATTGAATAAGTATTTAATTTTAAAAATAATTACATACTCTAAGGACTCAGCGTATGGCTCTGAAGCTCACGAGAGTGACCATTTCACAAATCGGGGGTTTTTGAACCTTCTCCACTTCATCAGACTTGAAACGTTTGGCAGTCACTAGCCTTTACTGCATTATCCACCGGTGGGTACTGGCAGCAGTGATGGCACAGCTTTCTAAGGCTCCTTTTGAAATTAACATCAGTGGTTAGCATTAGGCACCAGAGGTTTTGTGCGGAGATTACAGTGGGTCAGAGGAGGGTAGGGGTAGAAATGGTAACGCCAAGACATAGCTATGGGGATGCTACGTGTATGATTTTTTCAAATACTTTACAAAAGTGCTGGCTTCCTCATAGTTTCAGATGGTTCAGGATGATATCTATCTGTATTGTGACTAGATATTTTTTAAACCTAGTGTAGTGTGAGGATGCATACACCCCCCATATTTCTCTATTCAAGAATGTCTTCGATTAGTATCAATATGCCTATGAAATACTAGAGCTCAAATCTGTAGGAGAAAATGCATTTAGTACAGCTTGAATTCCAATTTTTATGTGAATTTTACAAAGGAACATTGTTTCTCTAATATATTACTAAGTATCTTTAAGTGAATAAGTAATCCATGTTTTACATTTTTCTCCTTTTCTTATTCTGTCTATCTTTTTGGTCATTTTTCCCTATTTCCAGTTAACATTTCAATTTAATGTTGTGATGATTTTAATAGAATGTTTAAAAGTGAAATATAAAATATAAACTTCAACAGAATATAATAATTGAATGGGCTTATTAGAAGAAATACTATTATGTTGTAGTAGTAATTATTTATATAGGGTCATAGGTTTGAGTCTATGATTTAGATAGCAATATAATAAAAGAAAGAAGGCAGCAAATAAATGTTGAAATGAGGCATATCTGGTTGTGTCACTTGCGCTATAACTCAGTTAAAATTAGCCTATAGTGGGGCAGTGAAAATTTCTATCACTGCAAACTTGAGATTTCATGGAAGAAAGATGACATTCATTTATGATCAGTAAGCTGTAAACTGAGTGGTGTAATTGGAGAACTCAGGGTGGGAGTGTATCAGCTGATCAGTGATGTCCATCATGAGAAGTAGACCAGTGATGAGACAAGCACTAGCATTCCCTGGCCGGCCTTTCTTCCAGTGACCTTGTTTTCTAATCCCTCCTGTGCTTCTCATGTTCATGGTCAAGCCCTAGGTCTGGGCATGTCAGAATCTACAACTTCTCTCTCATCTTGCTTTCATGCACCCCATTCTTGCTGATTATAACCTCCTTTCTTGTCAGTGCTCGTCCAGGGGTAACCGAATGCAATTTTACTTTTACATATAGCCTTTACTTCCTAAGCCCTCTCTCACTTCATTGCACTCACTTGATGAAATCACAGACCTGGTTACATTCAACTCCCCACCCGTTGCTTACCAGCAACGAATGAACCTGAAGAAAAACATATCACACGTTGTTGTGATTCACTTTTCGCTCATGACCCCCAACTCATGTGAACATGCCCAGCAAGCATTCTGCATTTCTCTGTTCCACTTTTTTTTTGTCATCTGAGAAATCTCAAACTCTTTCAAGTTCTTAGATGACAATTTTATACCTTTTCTTTTCCTCTCAAATCTGCGATACCACCCCTCCTATCCTTTCTCTGAACTCAAGACCTTGATCTTGACTTTACTGGAAAAAATTAAAACAGAGAGAAAAGAATTTCAGAAACCCTGGCTACCACATCTACTCATGTACAGCATTTATATTCATTTATTCCACCTTTCCTTGCATTTCTTTCTCTTCTACCACTTTAATATCTCCCTCTTCACCCAGTCATTCTCTTTAGCCCACAGGATACTACCATCTCTCCAATCTTAATTTTTTTAATTACAATTTTTCTTGACCCTTCCACAGCTTTCCTTCTCTTTCTGATTTCTGTTGTTGTTACTATATTCTGGCTGCTAGAGAAACCAACCACAAGTGACATAAACACTTTAATTTATTGCCAAGCCCTCCCATAGACTGGCCCACAGAATATTCTTTCAAAGACAGTGTAAGATATACTATATGGGAATAGAAATGTTCTAAGAAGTAGGAAAAAATGATTCTGGCCTCTGGACTGCCATTATTCAGCTGTTTGAATTTTTCCTTGGTTCCCTTTTTATGAGGTGACTGTGATGCTTAATAAATTCACAGGATTGTTGTGAGATACCGTTTTATTCTTCCATCCATCTTTTCAGTAATCATCACTGGTACCTTCAACATGCCAAGCATGCCGAGGGGTGGGAAAATAAGTATGACTAAGACATGAATCCTTTACCGCCCCAAATAATTGGATTACTGGATATATGGGAACAGCTAAGTTAGCTGTAATGACTTACACAGGGCTTAAAAGAAGACCATCCATATGTATTGTAGAATCCTAATGAGCAAAGAAACCAGAAAATAAACTCCAGGAAGAAACAACTTCAGTGAAAACAACTTGAAAAAAAAATTCTACTTACTTTATTGTTGTCATTAGCTTCTCATTGTCAAGCTGGGCCCTTTTCCTAAATTCACTGGGATCTTGGTAGCTCACTGGTTTTCTGTAACCCGAAGTTTTAGTGCTGTTGTTATTATTGAACTCTTATTGCTAGTGGTTGGTGTGGGAGCTTCATTGGTGAGTGATTGTCCTGTTCCCCAGGTGAAGTAGCCTGATGTTATACAACTCTGATGGTGTTGGCCATAAGTATTTAATTTTAAAAATAATTACATACTCTAAGGACTCAGCGTATGGCTCTGAAGCTCACGAGAGTGACCATTTCACAAATCGGGGGTTTTTGAACCTTCTCCACTTCATCAGACTTGAAACATTTGGCAGTCACTAGCCTTTACTGCATTATCCACCGGTGGGTACTGGCAGCAGTGATGGCACAGCTTTCTAAGGCTCCTTTTGAAATTAACATCAGTGGTTAGCATTAGGCACCAGAGGTTTTGTGCGGAGATTACAGTGGGTCAGAGGAGGGTAGGGGTAGAAATGGTAACGCCAAGACATAGCTATGGGGATGCTACGTGTATGATTTTTTCAAATACTTTACAAAAGTGCTGGCTTCCTCATAGTTTCAGATGGTTCAGGATGATATCTATCTGTATTGTGACTAGATATTTTTTAAACCTAGTGTAGTGTGAAGATGCATACACCCCCCATATTTCTCTATTCAAGAATGTCTTCGATTAGTATCAATATGCCTATGAAATACTAGAGCTCAAATCTGTAGGAGAAAATGCGTTTAGTACAGCTTGAATTCTAATTTTTATGTGAATTTTACAAAGGAACATTGTTTCTCTAATATATTACTAAGTATTTTTGAGTGAATAAGTAATCCATGTTTTACATTTTTCTCCTTTTCTTATTCTGTCTATCTTTTTGGTCATTTTTCCCTATTTCCAGTTAACATTTCAATTTAATGTTGTGATGATTTTAATAGAATGTTTAAAAGTGAAATATAAAATATAAACTTCAACAGAATATAATAATTGAATGGGCTTATTAGAAGAAATACTATTATGTTGTAGTAGTAATTATTTATATAGGGTCATAGGTTTGAGTCTATGATTTAGATAGCAATATAATAAAAGAAAGAAGGCAGCAAATAAATGTTGAAATGAGGCATATCTGGTTGTGTCACTTGCGCTATAACTCAGTTAAAATTAGCCTATAGTGGGGCAGTGAAAATTTCTATCACTGCAAACTTGAGATTTCATGGAAGAAAGATGACATTCATTTATGATCAGTAAGCTGTAAACTGAGTGGTGTAATTGGAGAACTCAGGGTGGGAGTGTATCAGCTGATCAGTGATGTCCATCATGAGAAGTAGACCAGTGATGAGACAAGCACTAGCATTCCCTGGCCGGCCTTTCTTCCAGTGACCTTGTTTTCTAATCCCTCCTGTGCTTCTCATGTTCATGGTCAAGCCCTAGGTCTGGGCATGTCAGAATCTACAACTTCTCTCTCATCTTGCTTTCATGCACCCCATTCTTGCTGATTATAACCTCCTTTCTTGTCAGTGCTCGTCCAGGGGTAACCGAATGCAATTTTACTTTTACATATAGCCTTTACTTCCTAAGCCCTCTCTCACTTCATTGCA